CTTATCTATATCCTATTATAGTTAATCACCTTCTTCTAATAGAGAACATCCTCATTTTGCTCCCGATGGTATCTCCAAATTGTCTCTTAGTAATGGGTGAGGTTTTGTACACATTCCCACATTGTATCGTGGATGGAATAACCTTCTGAAGAATTTTGTATTGAAGTTATTGACATCTGCTACCACAGCAAAGGTAGTCATGCTCTAAAATGCTATTAACTTCATATTCTTCTTGGTCATCAATTACAATTGGTGGTGGTGGTTGGTGTCGATTTTAAAAATATTTTGGCTCGATATAAAATTCTTTCAGTTGCAAAACATGAAAGATTAGTTTTCTTATCTTTGATAATAGCCATTCTATTTCAATATATTATCATCTTCAAATATTTTTTTAATATTTTCAAGTAATATAAGAATATATTGATTTTTTTTTTTTTTTATGATTCATGTCCTTTATAATACATTGAATTCACCATAGTAAAGAAGTTATAATCTCCTTAGAAATCCTTTGTAGACACAAAGCTTGGCCTTGCACCAAATCTACGAGATAAAAACATTGATCAAGTTCTATTAGCACAATACTTATTTTGTAAGAAGTATGGTTGCAAAGAGGTCAATCTCATAGGATGTAAATAGAAGCAAATTGTGAATATAAAAATATTTTTAATTTTTTTTTTTGTACAAATAATATCATAGCGCATATGAAGTTAGAGCATGCCAAAGTATGGATAGAATACAATACCCTTCTAAATGCCTTAAAGAAGTAATTCTTTGGCTACGTGAATTTCAAAAACATCCTTGTAGTTCATTTTAAGATTAAGAAGGCACTCATGTTCACAATCAATTGGGATATTATAGATGTGGTTATTAATGACATGTTATTTAATATAGGTGACAAGGAATTTGCCCTGACTTGTGAACATGCTTTGTCAATTTTTAAGTTCATAGAAGATGTAACACAATGATCAAGTTGATCTTGGTAGAAAATAAGATCTAAATTGCAAAGCATATAACGTTGTCGTGTTGTGGTTCGGCTACTATATGAAAATAATGTAATTATGTACTTAATATATAATTTATTAAGTAACATGGTGAGAGCCATGTTAGTAGATTTTAGTTGGTTGTAGAATATAATTTGATTATTACTTTGAGAAGAGGTTATTTAAAAAGATTACTATAGAATTTGTATAACTTTAATTTCCTTTTGATAGTGGTTTTTAAGATTGGTTTTGGTTGATAGTAACTTCTAAATATTTAGAGTCACCTTTGTTAGAGATTGGTGACATTTGAAAACTTATTTTGGTTCTTTTATTTGGTGTTTAGAGCATACATTATGTAAATCTTATAAGAAAAAGGATTGAAGATGGATTTTGGTAGCAAAGGGAGTAATTAGGGCACCAATATAGATGAATGGAGATGAAAAATAAAAATCTCCATTCCTATTGGTCAAAAATCATGACCAATGGGCTTTGAGGAGGCTGCCCGAGGCCATATTAGGGATTAGGGTTAGTTTCTCGAGGCCATTTGAAATTTGAAGGCTAGGATCATAAGGTTTAGGTTTTTGGTTAAGGTTTTGGTGCAAGTTTTGTGTCATTTGGGGTTTTTATGAAGAAATTATAGGCACTCAAAGTTAAGATGTTAGTTTTGGACCTACTGTCATTCTTTTGAGCATAACGCACGCATACAGATGGCAATTGAGGATCGGCGACTGCGATTGGAGAGAGCACTTTTGCGGCTATACTTTTCACATACTGCTTACTGGATTCTAAGTTGAGATGAAGGAGTTATTGGATTTTGAAGTCAGCACATGCAATCTAAGGGTAGTAAGTAAACCGATTTACTAGTGTTTGTCTCTTGAGCTATATCTTGAGAAATTTGACAAGGTTTTGGCTCAAAATTTCAAGGAATGTGTAATTTCATGTTAGTAAACTTTGTGCATAAGTTTTATGACATTTGGAGTTCGGGTTTTTTGAGATATAAGGAAAATAGTTTTTCGGGTGCTTATAAATTAGGGTTTGGAGTGTCTGCTAGGATTTCTTAGATGCCAAAAGATCGGGAGTGAATTTGCGGTTGGTTTTTTTTTTTGGTAAAAGCTAAGGGTAAATTCTACCTATCTTGTAAATTTGAAACAAATTGAACGGTTAGATCAATATTTATGATTTGCTAAAGTTCAGGGCGAGAAAACCCTTCGCGGGAAAAATATGTTTTGAAGGGATTTTATTATATTTGGAGTTTTATACAAAAATAAAGGAGTTTTGGAAGCTAAGAAAAGAATCATATAAAGATTTAAGGTACACTCTCTAAAGCTAGATACCCAGTGTATTCCCAGATAGCAAATCACGCCATACGACAACGTAGAGATCAATTCTTCATGGTTGTTTCATCTCATGATTAGCTTTGTCTCATGTGAAATCTTATTTCAAATAATAGCACATCTCGTTGATGTAACAAAGATCATATTGCAGGATGGATTGCTTTAATGGATATAATATCAATCATGCAGTTTTGTTTATGATGGTGGCTTGTATTGTGAGCTTACAAAAAATCATCAAGTTCTTTCATATGTAATATACATTTTTGCTTTAGATTTTGATTTGAGTATCAATCAAAATTGCACAACCTCCATCTTCTTGCCATTCCACTTTTTGATCATAAAACAACCAAAATATTCTTTGCTATGGATGCAAAAACTTTTCGACATCATTACTCGAAAATGGAAGATACAACTAATTGGAATTAGCATGAATAGTAAGCAAACAATGATTAGGTAGATTTTTGGCATCACAACATGAATGGTCAAGGCGATTAGTGATAAAATTATATAGATATGGTATATCCTATACTAATTTAATCTTATAGTCTAAGCCAAGTATGCCAAGTTGTATGATGACTAGTTTGTTAACATCTTGATGAACTTCATCTCTTATCTTTGCTAATAGTACAATCTCATTGGAAGAATGGATTGTACATACTTAAAATTCATGGATACATAGTAGTCATCTATAAAAAAATTGAATAAATTTTTATAGTAAGAATGTGTAGTGATCTACAAATATCTCACGCAAAAGCTATGCACATATACTCTTCTCTATTCTTGATGGGTGGTATTGCTTGTACTCAACAATATTACAAAGGTAATCTCTAATGTTGTAATTACTTATAACAATTGAACACCCTTTCGAGTCGATAAAAAGTCCAACTCAAAGGCTTAATTTAATCTTTGGTGGTTTTGTACAAAGTGCAAGATCTACATAATGCAAAGACTTTAGCCATAGCTTATAGCACCTAAAATCTAGTCATCTATAGATCTTAGTATGTGGCCCTTACAAATGCAAAAGCTTTCATTTAAAATCAAGGCACCTTCATGATGAATCTCATGGCTTTGCTACCCGTAATTGAGGCCAAGGCTATAGTTTGTAACATGGTGACCTTATTTGTTTGGCTTATTGATGCTATGGAATCCATTATTATCCAATACAATTGTAACAATGATGCTAGTGATGAGAACATTCTAAAAGTACTATCCTATAATTTGTGTATATTACAAATATCTACATTGTATATTTCTATCCATTGACATAGGCCACAATTAGAATTAACTAGGTAGAATGCTCAATGTATTGAAGATATTAAAAATGACCACCAAGCCATAGTGGGTGCTTACTGCGAAGAGATGACCTTCAAAGATGTTGTTGACAAGTACTCTGTTTTGTGAATAAAATTTCATGTCGGGCAGATTCATTGCAATGACTAGTTTCCACAACTTCAATTTTTTTGTGGTGGATTAGTTTCAATTTTTTCTAACATAAGCATTGTCAAATCTGACTTCTTTGTAATCAAGTAGAAGAAGACGAGTATTGGTAGTGATTCATGAACTTCTTACTTAAGAGTATCTTGCATTCTAAACAATTTGACAAAGTCTATTAAATTTGACAAGGATGGATGTTTTTGAACAATTTTGTAGATAAATTTCATCCATTCATAATTCACCTAAAATAAAACATAGCCACAACCCTAAAATAAGCTAAATTAGGTATTTTAGGGAAAGCCCTAGTTAAAAAAGGCCTATTGATAATCCAAAGAGAACAGTAAGAACTCTCAAAAAAAAAAAAAAACAATGCTAATATTGCAAAAAGTTTTGGTTTGAACTAAAAACAACATGTTATGTACCAGAATAGATACAGAGGTCTTTTTTGAGTTATATTCTTCCAAGAACCACAGTTGTCATAAAGCTAGTCAATGACCTGTAGTTTTGTAAACCCAGTAAAAAGATATTTTAAGTAGGTTACCTTGAGGTACTCACCCTAAAGGCATGGAATGAAATGGAATAAAATGGAATCCTTTACCCAACCCAACCCAACTTGGCAACAGAACCAAATAGGCGTTTTGGAATAGGCTCTGTAGAATGGCGGCCGGATACGGCCGACCATGAGATTCCAGCTTTTCTGCACAAGACCTTGAAAGATACGCACACAAATACTTACAGTGACGGCGCACGAAAGGCGTGGAGCTGTGAGAACCAGACGGGGAGCCTACACTTATCACCGGGTATCATCCCGTGTATCTGACACAGACACCGGGGAGGCCGACTGAAATGAGTAGCCACGTGTCAGTCAGCTCAGTAATGATTAAACTAAGGCGTGAAGAAGCTTCCAGGAAGGAGCGGAATATTCTACGGTACGGAGCGGGTGGTGGGATCCGAGAAGGTTCCTGAGGTCGTAGGTCGGATCCGGGTCAAAGGGCAAGATTCAGGTGGGCAGCCTGGCATGCCACCTAGGCGATATATTCCTGTACCTGGCAGCCAAAATGCCACCCCATCCATCCAACTCGGATGCCACGTAGGATGCCCTAAAAAGACAGAGGGCTCCTCTTGAGGACTAGCCTCGCGTTTGCGTTGGACTGGTGTGGGGGAGGGGCGATGCATTGCAATTGCTGATTGCGAGTGTTGGTAGGGTCTGGTAGGATTTGTCGGAGGTGGATATGGATGATCCTTAGTTGGTGTGCACCATACATCCCGTGCTCTCGCACAATGCTGGAATCGGGCGCATGGACCCCACTTTCCCTAGGGAATTGAATGCACGGACGAGTACAGGCTGGTTATTATCTCGGCGTGCGCTCTCGCTCTCTCTCTGTTCTAGCGGGGGGTTGGAAAACTCATCGCTGAGAGGCTTGAAGGTTTGACCACTGGCACCGCTCGTCAGCGGCTCCTCTCGACAGAAGCTATAGCTTTCTACCTTCGAATAGAATTAAATGAGAGGCGGTAGATATATACGCAGGGCTGTTGGGGGTGGTCGTTCGTCAGGTGCAAGAGCTGGCATAGTGGAAGACTCTCAAACGGGGTGGGGATTTCGAGTCCAGGCTAAATTATTTCTAGGGTTGTACTTATTGTGCCGAGTCGGTTTGCTTTCGGTTTCGCTGTCCGTTTTGTGAAGATACAGAGAGGAAGTTGATTGATTCGTTTATGAAGGCGGGAGGGAATAAGAGGAAGTGATGAGGAAGGTGGGGAAGTATGAAGTGGGGCGGACAATTGGCGAAGGCACCTTTGCTAAAGTCAAATTCGCCATCAACACCGAAACGAGCGAATTTTTGGCGATGAAGGTGTTGGATAAAGATACCGTGCTGAGGAATAAGATGGTGGAGCAGGTGGTCATTCTTCTTCTCTCTTCTCAGTTGGGCCGATTTGCTGCATTTGAGGGATTTCGGCAGCAATCGAGTATACGAAGACCGTATAGTCAGGAAATTTAGTGGGAAACAGATGCTTAGTACATTTCTCAGTCTGTAGAATGTTTACGTGCCATGAGTTGGCCAGGGTTTTGAAGGCCTATCGAATTGATGATGAAGTTTGAGATGGATCGGTGGTAACTTGACAGATCAAGCGTGAGATATCCATAATGAAGATGATTAGACATCCCAATGTGGTGCGCTTGCATGAGGTGCTGGCCAGCCGAGCGAAGATCTACATCGTACTGGAGTTTGTTTCTGGTGGAGAATTGCTGGATACAATTGTGAGACTCTTAACTTACCTAGTAATACATGGTGATCGGTATTAATTTCCCTCGGCAGCCCTGCTGCATTTTTGGATATGACCTTGGATTTGAATTTTTGGATAGGATTTGTAAGGGTTTTGTGTTTGAAATCATGTGGCAGGCACACAAAGGGAGACTCAGTGAGGGGCATTCTCGTAGGTACTTCCAGCAACTGATAGATGCAGTTGCATATTGTCACAGCAAGGGTATATCGCACCGAGACTTGAAGGTATGGTGTCGCTGGAATCCTATTCTTTAACGATACCTTTGGTTGTGTGCATATTTTTAGTGTTGTACTCGAGCCACTCAGCTTTCACCTGAACGTTCTTTTCAAAGTTTGGACGACGAGGCAAGGTACAATTCGAGCCCAAACACGATCGCATTAACTCTCACCTTCTTTACAGAGACTTCAAAATCCTATAACACCCCACCCACTGTGTGTATTGCAGCCAGAGAATCTGCTATTGGATGCTAAGGGAAACTTGAAAGTTTCGGATTTTGGGCTCAGTGCACTGCCGCATCAAGTGAGGGTAAGGCCTCTCTTTCCAACTGGGTAGTTATTGACAACATGGTTTGCTCAAAGGTTCGTAGTATGTGTTCTGTAGCAATCCTGGTTCTGTGATTAGTTTGACTCTTGTATCTGGGTGTGAAGAGGTTGGGAGGGATTTTTGGCGTTCATGTTGACAGGAAGATGGCCTTTTGCACACAACTTGTGGCACTCCCAACTATGTTGCTCCGGAGGTATGTTATTAAATTAACTCCCAGTCTGATATAAGGGTGAGGCATCATGATAGTTGTGGGTGCTTTAACCCGGTTGTGTTATTTTATCATTTGTATTACTGTCTGATTAGAATGTGTCGGATTGATTTATGATAGGTGCTTGACAACAATGGCTACGACGGTGCAGTGGCGGACATTTGGTCATGTGGTGTAATCCTTTTCGTTTTGATGGCGGGATATCTTCCATTCAATGAAGCCGACCTTAAAACTCTTTATGAGAAGGTAGAGACCCATGTTACAACCTGAAGTTAAAAGCGATCACACCATGGAAGATAGCAAATTATGCATTTCATCCTCAGGCTTGAAATTCTTGTGCATCCGTATCCTTTCTAGCTAACTGCTTGATATTTCCTTGGTGGTTTGCAGATTCAACATGCAAGTTTCTTATGTCCTGCCTGGTTCTCACCTGGCGCCAAGTCATTGATATTGAAGATGCTGGACCCCAATACTCGAACTGTATGCTGTTCAAAGCTGATCTGGAACAATGTTTTTTTTATATTTATGTGCGCATTGCTGTCCCTTTTTCTTTTCTCACTGAATCAGCTACCCAGGCCTGTTGGTTATATGAATTTATGATTATAGAAGTGCCTTTCTTTTAACAGAAAGTGAGGATAAATTGCTGTGCAGCGCATTACTTTAGAGGGGATTTATAACCACCCGTGGTTTAAAAAGAACTACGTTCCCGCGCGTTTGAGCGATGCTGAAGAGGCTTCAGATCTTGATGATGTGGAGTCTGTCTTTGATAATTCAGAGGTAGTCAAATTCTCATACTCTTCCCTTCCTCAACTGTAGTGTTGAGAAACTGAGTGGCGACGCGGAGAGACGAATATTGTTTCTAAATATCTCTAGAATTATTTTTATCTACCTAGCATCGCATATGATCTTTTTATTTTTGTTTTTATGTTTTGTTTTTACTTGCTTGCGATCACGTTACTTAAATATTCTACCTTCTTATCAGAATAGTGGCTGAATTTCCACTGCAGGAACGATTCGTTGATGATCAACTGGTCAAAGAATCAGGACCTTCCATGATGAATGCATTTGAACTCATAACACTCTCTCAGGGATTGAATCTCTCCGCTCTGTTTGATAGGCGACAGGTATGGCATTTCTAGACTTAGATTCAGTATCGTTTATGAAATGATTTTCATGGAGATGGCATGGAAAGGTCTGTGGTAAATGTTCTTGAGCTTGTGTTGTGCAGGATCATGTGAAACGTCAAACATGTTTTACTTCAAATATACCGGCTAACGAAATTATTTCTCGAATGGAAGGAGCTGCCCAATCGATGGGCTTTCGAGTGGAAACTCGCAAATACAAGGTACTCTCAATAAAGGGAAGCATGCCCCTTCAGCGCGGTGATGTGATTTATTTAGCCAGAAAATAATCTGGTTCAAGATAAGGTTACAAAGCTTAGGTTTCTCAATGCTTGTTACTTGGTGACCTAATTACAAGAGCGTACAAGAGGCAAAGATTTGGTGATCGCAGAATGGCCCAGAATATGTTGACAAGAATTTGCTTTTTTATATCTAAGTTGCGAGGATTTTTTAAGATGATGCGTTAACGCGTCTGGGTCTGGGACTGGATGGAGCAGATGAGGCTTGAAGGTCGTGGTGGTGGCAAGATTAATCAGCACTTGGCCGTGGCCATTGAGGTTGTCAATTTCGCTCAAATAAGCTAATTTACCTCATGAAGTGATCCTGTAGGTTCAGAACTGTGGCTGTTACCTCTGAAAATATTGTTTCTTATAATTCTTCACTTCCAGGTGTTCGAGATGGCGCCTTCCGTGTTCATGATTGAGGTGCGGAAAGCCATGGGTGATACTTTGGAATATCACAAGGTAATATATGCGCTTTCCCATATGCGATGACACCGCTTGCTGAAGTGGAATTGCTCCTCTTATTCAAAATTGATTTTACAATATCTCAAGTGGTCTGTTTTTTACAGTTCTATAAAACTTTCTGTGACCGAATGAAGGACGTTACCTCCAAAATGCCGACGTTGGGAATTGATCGAGGAAAACAACTTGCACCTTGAGCATAGAAGTGTGTGTGTATGGTGAACTACAAGAAACGAATGTGTAAGTATTTTTGTGGAGTTGAGGTGTGTGGTTATGCTGGTTTACTTTTAGGCTGACAAGATTTGAACAACACTAGAACAGGACTAAAGGTGTCTGATCCAATTAGTGGAACACACAGTTGGAAATTGTTGTATGATGTAGGCACATTCTGTAAAAAAGAACAGTTGGTAATTTGTTGAGTACTATATCGTAGGCAGTGGGATGAAAATAAGATGTGCTATTTCCAAATTTCTGTATACTCCGTGTTTATCTTGTTGCAAGGATTTATGATTATATTTGAAGCAGCAATCACTTGCTCGAAAAGAGTTTGGTGTACAGATATCTTGTCACTGAACAATGTGCAGTTGCAAACCACAAGCTTAAAGTTAATTAGTATGCTCCAAGATGATTGTAATTAAGATTTCATGTGATAAAAAAATTCAGATCCCACAAATTTGGCAGGATGTACAAAAAGTCATGGTAAACATTTCCAGAGCTTCATTTCTCCAAAATGCACAATAGGTACATTCAACTGTGTCAGCTACATAGCCTTTCCCATAACTCCTTGCCCAATTTCAATACACTACATTACACTTTCACATTGCACTACACTTATACAGTAGTAGGCAGTCCTCGTACGCATGCAACATCTTCACTGTTTCAAGGACTTGAAACAGCAGCATTGGTAGCCTAGCTGTCCTAATACAGATTTTACAATGAGGGGCAATCTCTCGTACACCTCCTGCGTAGATGCATCAACCGACAATATCTCAATTTGAGACTTGTCACTTTCCTGAGAATAAATTCGATGTTTCTGTTTACTAGGGGAGTCTCCCCCACTGAAAACGGAAACCCACAACGAGACAGTGCACAGAGCTAAAATTCCAAGCAGAATGAATAAAAATTGCTACACATAATTCCTATATGAATTTAGCAAATTGAAAACTAGAAAAATAAGGATCAATTCCAAATTCCATACCTGCTGTCAGTAAACGTCCACCACAGACCACAATCAAGGGCCGTTCTGGCAAACACTCATTAGTATTAATAGCCACGCTTCTGGTAGGGTATCCAACGGCGCACTGCGACCATCCGCGGCTAGAAGACAGAAATCAATAGAGGGCCTGAAAGCAATGACGCTTGGCCTAATCTCTGCTTAGTGCCGCGTAGATCCAGGTGAGTGTAAACTCGGTCGCATTTCCTGCAGGTGATCGTCCGGGTTTAACGTCAGCTGCTTTACCTCCAAAGGGTTATCAGTGCGAGGCCCGACAGTGGTATAGTGGGCTATGAGCTGGCCTGGTTGGGTGTCTGTTGAGGAGATAACTTCTATGTTCAGATACGGTCGTGATAAGGCCAGTAGATGCTCTCCTGCCCATGGAGCCCTATAGCCTTGAATCCATATAAACTTGAGCGAGCTCATCGCCACTACTGCTGCCGCAAGACCTGCCTCCCCAAACGGACAATCCCGACACTCTAACCTTTCAATGCGCTGCGCTTTGTATGCCAAACTGGCCAATCCAATGTCGGATTCGCCTGTGCATCCCAACAATAACCATTTCAAATTCGTGCCAAACTCCCCGATGTAACCCATTCCTCTGTCTGTCAAGCCCCCGTGCCGAAGATATACAGCAAGCTTGGATATTTTTCGGCAGCCTTTGAGCAGGAGCTTGATTCCATCGTCCAACGGCAGGTCGACGACGCGTCTTGCAGCGGTCTCCAGCACGAGACGGAAGTCCGTCAGCTGTGCGCAGCATTGTCCCAGCATCGCCAGCGCGGCGTTGGTGATGTCGGACACGTACACGATCAACTGCTGCATTCGTGCACACCCTTGGGCAACAGCAACAACGCCTCGTTGAGTGATAGCTCCTGCATTATCGTGCTCCACGCGTAATCGCCTGAGGCTCTTGCATGTCTTGCCGATAACTTCCATGCCCTCGTCCCCAACTGCGTTGCGAACCTGTTGAACAACGAATTCCCAAGAACTAGTCAGGCTTGACTAATGCTACCTGACTTCTTCAGATTTTTTTAAATATAACTGAGACACTGCTAATGAATAAATTATGCCAACGTTACCTGAAGCTCTTCCAAAGCATGGCACTGACTGAAAAGTTGGCAGTAAGCTTTTCTGCTCAAAAGCGTGAACTTCAGGTCCAGTTTTCTCAAGTTTGGTGCTATGGGAAGAACCATAGCCAATCCAGGGTCGGACATGGCCCACAAACCTGACAAACCCGTCAAGCTTGAAGGTAAAGATATAGATACATGTGTCCTGCTGTCCTCGTCCCCGAAGAAATTGCAAGAGCCTGTGCCGAATTCAGTCAAAGAAGACGCTCTGCTAATGGCACTTATCATGTCCACCATTTCAACTTCACCAACTTTTAGAGAAACCAGTGATTTGCACCTCTCCACTAGCAACACCAAGTCAGCTGCATCAACATCCTCAAGACCAAGTACAGCAAAATTCAGGACCTCCAACACGGAATTGTTGCGGGCCAGCTCGAATAGCCACTCTCCACCTTCATCAGTTACATCGCTGTCCTCTACGCTCAAAGACTTCAGAGACCTGGATGCATTCGTGGTGGAAAGAGGATAAGAACAAAAGCTTGCAACAACAGCACCCTGTATTGTCCGATTAGCCCACACAAATACAAGCAATGCTTAAGTAGCGGGTGAAAATCAAAAAATAATTTGCAACCATTAATGGTTCCAATATGCCAAATCCGAAGAAGTAGCAGCTGGACTCTGATGGTTTCATGCACCCCTAAAAGTGGATTATGAATGACAAAGAGTAAACAACCATCCTCCAGCTACACAGCATAGTAATAAATAACAGACTAACTCCACATAGACAGAATGGTCTGTGGTATGACAAACGTTTGAATTTTTAGTTCTACAAAAGGCCTGATGGAGGGTGCATAAGTGGATAGGAAACATGGAAAGAAGACTCACCGGCAGGACTTAGCAACAGGGAGGAGGCCAGCGGTGGAAAACCCAGCGCATTTATGTAAATACAAAACTTGCAGAGACGCTTGACAGGGAGAAGACGCAATTAAGGTCAAATCCGCATTAGAAACCTGGCACCGACGCAGTTGCAGCGTTTGCAGACTTGTATATGCGCGCCCCAGATCCCGAATCCAGGGCTCAGCATATCCACCCCAATCGGGTACTAGTAAATCATATTCCGCAGCGCGAGGCTTCCCCTTCAGCTTAAGCCCTTCCAGGCGCTTGAAGCGTCGGGTGAGCATCTCAGGGCTAGTGGAGTACATGTAAGCTATCGTTACAAACTTCCTCGTGGCACCATCCACGAGTCGCCATTGCTTGCACACCAGGGAGACTGACGCTCTATCCTCCGCACTCTCCACATACTTCAACACACACGCCAGGGTCTCGTCGGATAAGCCCGTCCCAGATCCTGATGGTCTCTTCTCTCGCCCCATCTCCATCTCCACACACAAACCCCAAAATTTCTCTAAAATATAGTTCTGAAGCGTTTAACCCCTAGTGTACAGGACCATCCGGATGGCGTTTAATCCAGGCGTTTCTAAATTCTGAGTTGCTGAGGCTGCACGACAAAAAATTGTGAGGCGTCGAAAACAGGCCAAACACAGTAGGAATTTTCCTGTACAAGTACCAGGGAACATAATACAAGATTACCAGAAGCTCCAACAGAAAAACAACTGAAACATTAAAAAAGCCCAAGAAATCTCAAAGGCGACTCCTCAAGCTGTACATGAATTCTATGTACGTCAAATCCTGAAAGACTAAACGTCCTCACTACAGAAAACAGAGGCGAAATCTGCACAAAGAAGTCAGCAGATGTGAAACAAGATTTCCAGCTACCGCATGATTGATCGCCGTACCTGCCCCGACTCTCTTCTTCACCTATCGAGTCCAACCCAATGCCGTGGCAGTCACCCGTATCCTGATTCTATTAGTAATGCACCTAGTAGAACCACTCATTACCGAAAACGCTCCGCGAACAGCTTCAATCCTGCTTCCAAATCACCACTCCTCGCACCATCTCCCTCCCTTCCCACTTCCTACCCCCGTAGGGCTTCATCCCCCGGTAAACCCCAAAAGCTCAACCCTCGAAACTCTCCCGCGGCTCACGCTTCGTCACACACATTCTCTGCATCTCTCTGTCACTGATTTTCAGCCACCGCACTGCCTAAACGGAGTTCAACAAGATCCAGTCCGTGAAGATCCCTCCCGGTTGTACAAAACCTCGATAAAAATAAAAATAAAACCCATTGCAAGAAGCTCATGCGCAACGGCAACAGCGATCCCTTACTCAAAACTTCTCTGCAAATCGGCTGCAGAAATAAATAAATAAATAAATAAATAATCAACAGCAGAAGAAGAAGAAGATGAAGAAGGCGAGGCGAAGGTGGGAGGAGGAGCGCTGACCAAAGCGGAGAGCTACGGCGTCAGCTCGTTGAATGAACCCGCCATTTCTGAGACCTCCGAGCTATAAAAACCTCCGCCACTCCCTCTCCCTCCTTTAGTCAATGGGCGCGATCTCTCCGCACCGGAATTAGGAATTCCCCTATAGCCGTGCAGCAGGGGAGATCCCACTTCTTGCAAGTTTTGCACATTGTCATATAATGCAGACTTTCGAATGACAATCTCTTGCATATTGTTTACAAATATTTATAGAAAGCAATCGAGTTGATTCATGCCTCAAGAACATATCAAATTGCAAAGAGTGGAGAAAAATTGTTGGAACTATTGTGAATCTTTATTAGTGGGTCTGTGGATACTATAAGAGGAAAATGTGACAAAGGATTGTTTACAAAGGAAATAATGTGGAGAAATTATATTGGAAAGAATTCCAATAAATGAACCCAAAAATTGGAAACGCATAATTGGATTTGAAAATTTGAAAAGACATACAAAGAAATTATTCGAAAACTATGGCTTTGAATTCTTAATCCTAATTTGCCTCTCTAAATGATTGGATTAATGGATTGGATAGGAGAAGACATGATTGATAAAGAAAAAAAGGTTGTAGGCCCAACCATTGTTTTTAGCCTTCTTTGTCAACTCCTTATAAAAGGCTTTTAAATTTTTTTTAGGAGATTTCTTCTATTAAAATGAAACTTAGATTCAAATTATATATTAGAACATTTCAAAATTGACTTATGTTTTTGGACAATGTTTTCCTTAAGAAAGCTCATTCTTTGCAAACTTGTATTGGACAAAGATTTTTGGACTTTATATTGCAAAATCAAAGCACATTTCATAGGAGCTAGGAAAAATAAAGACAATGAAGCTTCGGAAGCACTTCTCAATCGATTTGGAGTTCTTTGCAACTAATTAATGATCATTATGACCTAATTTATTTTAGATCCAATTTTCTTTTAGCAAAAAAAAAATTCATGGACGTATATTATGCAAATTATTTTTTTGAATAAGTTAGCTATCCATAGGTGGGTAGGGTAGCATAAGATAATTTTAGATTTTTTTTATTTTTTAGGATTTTAAGATTTTAGAATACAACAAAGAATGCTCGTTTTGTTGATATGGCAAAGAAGATCTTATATACAAAGTCATTGAAAGCAAGGATAGAGCATGCTTCAATTCAATCCTCTCACTCAAAAGTAAGTAGCGACCTAGAAAATGCATATAAGGATGAAAATCTAATCAAACTTGAACTTGTGGCCGTTGTGATAAATATGAGGTAATATACGAGATATCATTCCATTGTTTATTAGTTGGGAAGAGCTTGCCATTGGGATTGATAAAGAGTAGTGCAAGATTCTTGCTATGTACTATGGCCCTTTTGGTCCAAGTAGACTAAAAAATAGTTAAATCTAAAATAGAACATCGTAGTAAACATGCCATAATAGTATATTTTGTAAGTAAAAAATAAATATTTATTGCCCTACAATTATTGATTAAAGAAATTAAGAAGGTGGTTGGAGAAGGCATGGCTTTAAGACATGATCTTGGGAGGAGGTTCTTTCATATTGTATGTCACCATTCAATAGTGATGCAAAAGATTTTTGAAACAAGATTGGTCTATCTTGAGAGTCTAAATTCCTTCTAATCTACAACAACATAAAATCTCATCACAAAGTAGGACAAAATAGACTAGGATAAAATTGAACATAACTAAACAAAATAAGACACAAAAGACAAAACTAAGTAAATAGAAGTAGAAGAGAAAAAAACTAAATAAAAAGATGTAAAACCAAATTTTATTAAGAGAAAAGGTCTATAGTCATACTTGATAAGATGTCCCAAAAGGCCTTCACTAGTCTTATTTATACTTTGTTCTAGTACCTTGGACTTTCTAGAATATTCTTAGATGATGGATCCTACTTAGATAATTATCCTAAATTCTTTTTAGAAGGTTCTATAGTAGATCCCATTTAGATAACCGCCTTAAGCTCTTTCACGAATGTTCCACAATGGATTCTAGATAGTCCACTAACTTAGCTCTAATTTTAAAAACTTCTATAATCTATATAGGTAAATATTTATATAAGTAGAAGTAAATAAAAATAAATAAAAATAGGTTAATTTTATAATATCTTTTAGATAAGCTTCCCAAAAGCTTCATAGATACTACTTTGACTTTATATGTGTTTATAATTCATTAGTAGGTTAGAAACTTGGTCAACAAGCTAATCAAGTGTTGATAGCTTACGGATCAAGCTAACTATGTGGCACACATATAAAAAACTTACTTTGCAAAGTAAGATACATGTCTTATAAAGTCAACATGTTTTGGAGGTCATGAAGGATATGGCCATGTAGCTCCTAGTTAAGAGTATATATGGAGGCAGGAATAAAGCCTTCTTCACTCTTGTCAATGTCTTTCTAGTTCTTAATCTTATTTCTAGACTTTCTAATCTTCTTATTTTTAGTAAGAGTCATTCTAGTTCAATAGTGTATCATCTTTGAATGATTTTTTAGTTCCTTTCAATGATACAAGAGTGCATTGAGGATTTTTTTTCTTTGAGATTCATATCCTTGACATTCAAAAAGTCTTGTGTTGCCAATGGTTATCTACATATTACTTTTGTCAATTTTGTGCAATAAAAAAATAATGCCATATTTCTTGTAAGGTCGTTATAAGCCGTTGTATGAATTCTTCCATTATTTGATTATTGGTGTCAATGAGATGATGGAAAATTATTGGTATAATCGGATATTGACCAATGTTAAGGAAAAATAGTGAATGATGGATACTTACTTGAATACTATTATTGTAAGTAAACTCAAAGGGTGTCAAGTATTTATTCTAGTCATTATGATGAACTACCACAAGTATAAGCACCATATCTTTCAAGGTCCAATTTGCATACTCTGTTTGTCTAACTATTGGAGGATGGAAGGTTGTAGACATAACAAGTCATATGCCTAGTAGCTTGAAGAAGGCTTACCAAAAACTTCTTCTGAAGCATGGATCTCAATCTGAAATGATGATGTAAGGTAATCTATGGTGACAAAAGATAATATTAAAGAAGACCTTGGCAAGCACTAAGGCATCAATATCCAAGCATACCATGGCCAAATAAAGTTGCTTAAAGAGTCAATCTACAAAGATGGCGACCACATTGTGATTATGAAGCATCCGTAATAAATTATAACGAATTTAGAATACTGATTGAAAATCTAAACAAGAAGCTGAAGAAGAATCAGCAAGAACTAGATTAATCAAATGAGTACAAGAACAACACTAGAGAGGTGAGCTAGAGCTCCAAGAGGTATGCTGTCGAGACTGAGGATCTCCTCAGTCTCGGCTCCTATATATACTACAAGCTAAGAAGCTTCTCAATCAGCTTCCACAATCTATGAAGCTTCTCAAGCAGCTTCTATGAGCTAGGAAGCTTCTCTAGAACCTTCTAGAATCTTCTACAACTTCTTAGTGTATATCCTTGACATCACCTCTCCCTTTAGCTTTGAGGTCTCCAAGAAGCACTCCTATTATAAGTTAGTACCAATGTAAGAAGTTGAAAATTTGTCACATAGTCTCTACAATATACTCCAATTATTATTTGTGCGGCAAGTAGTTCATTGATCCTTATAACCAACGATAGTATCCTACGCCTTTGATTTCTGACCAAGCATGAACTTTCGTGTCTTCATTGTGAAAATGCCTTGCAAACACTCGTTCGCAAAGGTCACCGTAGGTAGGTTCTACCTCAAACACAATCACTAGCAACCTATTAGTAGGTATCTTTTGTCATCTTCGTGATATAGGCAGTTCTTCATTTCGGGATCATCTTTGTGAGATACTCGATTGAAAAGACATAGCTGGTATGGTATCTATCTCTTGGCTATCCACATCACATCAAAAAATACAAGAACTAAATATGGAAGAATGGGCTCAGGTTACAGATTTATAATCTCTAACTATATCTTTTAGAGGTTCCTTCTCCCCTCTTTTTTGTAAAGTCGAGGATTAAGAGCCTTCAAGGAGAAGGAACACTGAAAAACTTTCATCGAAAGGTATTAGGTTTCTGAGATTAGCATCGATGAAACTGCTCTACCTTTTGCAAAGCATTGATAAGATTTTCCGTTGGTTCCCATGTGTGCTCATTGATATCATAGCCACTCCAATGTACTTTGTACTCCAATTTCTTTTACTTACGGCACAAATCTAGTACCTTTTCCACCTCGTATTCTTTGTGGTTCTCAATTTCAATACTAGGTGGCGAACATTGCACTCTTTTAAGAAAAGATGACTCTCGATAAGGCTCCAACTAAGAAACATGAAAGACTGGGTGTACCTTCATAGCAGTTGATAATCCAAAAAGATATGCCATTGGATTGATTTGCTTCTGGATGACAAATGGTCTCAATCTTCGATAGTCCAACTTATCACATGGCCGCTTAGTTTTGATATTCTGTCGAAGCATCCATATTTTATCTCCAATTTTGAAAGTAGGTGCCTAATTTCGAAATTTGTCTATGGATGCCTTATAAGCTTCTTGGATGGTTTGCAATTGAAGCTTCAACATAGTTTGAAGCTCCGATAGTTGTTTTACAAATTCTTCAGCTATCAGGTTATTATTGGTTGACGGACTCAACAAATTAAGCTTCGGATGATATCTATAGTTGAAAAAGAATAGTGTTTGTTGAGTCGACATATGAAGGGTGTTGTTATATGTAAACTCAGTTAACAATAGATATGCAGTCTAATCAAATTACTGATAGTTCATGCTACATTATAAATACTTCTCCAAAGTTTGATTCACTCGTTCCATTTGGCCGTCAGTTTGAGAATGAAAAGTTGAAGAAAGCTTGATATCGACCTTCAATATCTCAAAGAGAAATCTCCAGAATTTTGATACAAATTGGATTCCTCAATCCGACATAATATCATCTAATAAATCATGATATCGATACACATTATCAAGGAAGAGCCTTGCTATATCTTTGCTTCACTA